AGTCCGCAAGTTTACAAAGGTTTTCATTCAATGTAGTCTGACAGGAAGAACTTTTGACAAGGCTATACATTACGCAGTCATCCGCGAACAATTTAACACTAACACATTCATCAATATTTTTGGAAATGTTGTTAATATAAATCAAAAAAAGTAACGGTGCGAGCACGGAGCCCTGTGGTACACCCGACAAGACCTGTAGGTTATCAGATTTAGAGCCATCACGTTCAACGAATTGAGAGCGGTTTTGTAGATAGGCCTGTATCCAACGAACCAGCCTATCAGGAAGTCCTGCCTCTTTCAATCTATCAATGAGCAGATTGTGAGGCACGCGATCGAACGCCTTAGATAGATCTAAAAAAATTGCGTCGATTTGGTGACGATTGTCCATCGCGGCTGCAAAATCGTGGACTACAGATATTAGCTGAGTCGTTGTGGAAACGTTTCTACGAAATCCGTGTTGGTTCTTGTCAAAAAAATTGGTCGACTCTAGGTAACGAGATATATGGTTAGCGATTATGTGCTCAAGTAACTTGCAACATGTGCTTATTAAAGAAATAGGTCTGTAATTTCCGGCGTCTAATTTGTCACCTGATTTAAATACTGGAACTACTCTAGCCGTTAGCCAATCTGCTGGTAAGGAACATTGATTAAGTGAGGCACTGAAAAGCAAGTAAAGGTACTCGGAGACTATTTCCGAGTAGCGATGAAGAAAGGAATTAGGTATAGCATCAGCACCGCATGATTTCTTTACATTGATATTCAACAAAAGCGAAAATATGCCCTCATGACTGAGCACCACATCTGGCATTTTAACAGAAGCGGATGAAGAGGCATAATTGTCATTCTCAATCAAAAGGGAATCGGGTGTAGTAAACGCTCTGTGAAAACTGGCATTGAACTCATTTGCAATTTCTTTACCGTTAGTTGACACAATACCATTAATTCTTAGTTGTTCGACTCGTTCACTAGTATCAGATAGAAAACGCCAAAACTTTTGAGGTGATTCTAATAAAAAGGTAGTAAGAGTTTGCCCATAAAAATTATCACGTGCGATGCGTATTTTACTGAGTAATTCATCATTCAGGACGTTCAGCTCTGAGCTATTTTTATTTTTTGCCTTTCGTTTGCGTTTGACACGCCTCTTAAGGTGAATAATCTCACGGTTAATCCATGGATTGTGTTTTCTGATTGGTTTTCGACGGATCGGAACAAACTGATTTATGCAGGACGTGACGAGGCTTTTGAACGTTTCCCATAGAAGAGAGACGTCATCGATACGCTCAAAATTCGTGAAAGAAAAATGTAAACAATCAAGAACTGATTCATCGTCTGCAGCTGAAAAATCAATGAAAGTCTTAAGGGGGGGCGTTGGTGTTGTTTTTTTGATAAGCAAATTTAGATTTACCAGTTTGTGATCGGCGATTCCATTTGCGGTAGAGACTGTACAGTCACCGGGAAAATCTTTGATAAAAATAAGGTCTAGGATTGACTGAGTTGTCTCTGTGACTCGAGTGGGAACAGTGACTATCTGTTTAAGATCGTGGAAAAAGGCAGAATCAAGAAGCAGGCGTGCGCTCTCGACGTCATGATAGCCCGAGATAGCTAACGCATTCCAGTCAATCCCAGGTAGGTTAAAGTCGCCAGTGAGCACACATTTTTTATTAGGCGTGAGCATGCGATCAAGATAGTTTGCCAGCAATTCAATATATGATACAGGACTATTGGGCGGTCTGTAAACGACGCCAAATAAAGTAGAAATATTTCGATAACGGATTTCGCACCAAATGCTTTCGTGTTCCGGAATGTTTTCAAGCCTAATGATATCAACTTCTTTCTTTGCTATTATAGCTACGCCTCCACCACGTCCTTCACGATCCCGTCTTACTATTTTATGTGAGGGGGGTATAATTTCGGAATCAGTAATATTTGGTGACAGCCATGTCTCTGTAACCGCCAGTAGGTGAGGGTCGTAGAGGAGGAGAACTTCTTCTAATTGTTGGGATTTGTTAGCAATACTTCTTCCGTTCAGCACACTTATCCGAAGCGTTTTAAACTCGTTTCAAGAAGATGCCTGAGCAGAGTTGGATTGGCGAACTTGTTTCGGACGGAAATTGGTAGAGTGAACCTGTTTTGGGCACGAGTTAACATCGTCCCAAATATAAACCGTGTCATCCACCCGAAGGCGGTCGTAGTCCAGAGTCACTTTGCGGCCCTGGGCTTTGAACTCTTTGCCATGTTGCCACAATTTTGACCGCTTGTTAAGTGTAGCTCTGCAGTAATCGTGACTAATTGATATATTTGAACCTTTTAGTTTAGGACAACTCTGCAAAACATGCATTTTCTCGTTGTAGTCAAAAAAATTTAGCATGACGGGTCTTGTCTTATCGGCTCTTTTTACGCCGATCCTGTGCACTCTTTCTACTGATTGTACTGTAACACCCAATTTAGTACAAAAAATATCTTCCAACACATGCTGCTTTAAACGAGCAGGGATTTCGCCTTCCGTTTCTGGGAGGCCAAAGATTACTAGGTTTCGGCGGCGACTTCTATCTTCAAAATCTTCCATTTTCTGCTGTTGCTCAGTAATTATTTTCTTAAGAGACGAGACTTCTGACTTTAAGTGATTAATTTCTTCGGTATGCTGGGTTAAGACTTTAAGCGAGTCGTTTAACTCAGCAAACCTAGTTTTTATTGTTTCTTCCATTGTGGACTGTTGCAAAGAAACTTTGTCGATTGAAGCCTGTAGAGCTGAACGCATTTCCTGAAGAAGTTGCTTAACCTCAGGACCGGGATTTCGCCTATAATAAAATTTAAATAATCAATAAATATATCAGGGTGGAAATGCTTTATTTCGTTTTTATGTGGGAACGTTGAAAAAAAAAAGAAAATCTATTTCCAAGCTTGCGAAGACGCGCAATTCGCAAGTCCATTTCGAGCCGTAAAAACACGTTTTTGTACAATATTGATGCTTAAATGTAGAACATACAAACAAAATATACACTTTCTAGGCTTGATTTTCGTGTAGACAACTATCATATCTACATTTGAACAAAAAATAAAAAAAATAAAAAATGGGTTTTTTGAGAAAATCAATTTTAAAAATGGTACTTTTTGGTTTTTGCATAATATTAACGTAAACGTACCGCAAGGGATATTTTATACAGCCAAGGCATTTTATAATAAATATAAAGAGCGTGTTTTGGGCTCTCCGTGGACATAAAAAATATCGGTGTAACCCAAGTAGATGGCCAGTAATTAATTGTCAAAGTTTGTCAACAATTGACCGAGGAGGCGTTTTTGACATTTTTACAGAAAAAAAGCAAAAGGCCTAAAATTATTTCATGGTATTGGAGCCTTTTAAATGTGTCCACAGAGTGCTTGAAAAAAGTTAATATAATGTGGACTGAAAATCCATGGCGGGAGATTAAGCGAAACATCCGACCCACGACGGGTGTGAAAAACACTGCTTTTCGCCGCGGCCTCTTTAAAAATTCATAAGTCGAGAACAAAAAATCCGACGAACTTGCGGTTTGTGTCGACTGCGGTTTCAGAAACGGCGCCATAACATATATTTTTTTCATCTAAATTAAAAATTCGACCCTTTTTGCCTGCACGATTTGAGATGAAACCACCCATATATATATACAGGTTTTTTTTTTTTTTAATTCTTACACATTTGTTTTAAAAAAAACGCGAAAGCTCCACTAATGCGGTTTGTGCAGGTGGGTTAAACGGCCAGGCGGGCATTATGTGGATGGCTAATCTTTGGGACAAGTCGGCTAATTAATTAAAATTCGTTAGTTAACATTTTAATTAGTGTAAATGGACATATGGTTCCAATTAGAAACTTGCTGAGCGTCATCCAAAACCCCTAAATCAGTCACTTTCAGAAAAACTTTGAGCGCGTGAGAAGCGTAGTAGTGCGCTAAAGTTATCCTCTCGTGGAGCAGGTACTGCGGTAGGGCGCCCGCGCAATTCTTCCGTCTCTTATCTAGCCCCAGCCTTGAACCTGCTCCACGAGTGGTAACTTTAGCGCGCCACTACGCTTCTCACGCGCTCAAAGTCTTTCTGAAAGTGACTGATTTAGGGGTTTTGGATGACGCTCAGCAAGTTTCTAATTGGAACCATATGTCCATTTCCACTAATTAAAAAGGTTAATTAACGAATTTTAATTAATTAGCCGACTTGTCCCAAAGATTAGCCACCCACATAATGTCAGCCTGGCCGTATAACCCACCTGCACATTAGTGTAGCTTTCACGTTTTTTTTAAACAAATGTGTAAGAATAAAAAAAGATTGCTAAAGAGGCCATAAATATGGGTTATCTGTCCATAGGCCTTCACGCGCGTCATCGCACTTTAGCAAGCAGTCAGTATAATGCCCTTATCAGGAGCACGTTGTCCGCATGCCGAGTCGTTATTTATTCGGGTGTATCACACGTGAAACGACCTTGCCGTTGTACGCTGCAAGCCTCAGCTGCAAGACGCTAACATCCGGTGTCGTGCTCACCTCTATCTTTTTTTTTTTTTTCTCTCTCTCTATTTGTTCAAAGAAAGCTGCACCTTGTAAGTTCATGTCCTGGCATGAATAAGTGAAAGTCGTTTAACGTACCTGTGAATGTGACAGAACACACATATTTAGGTAATGGAATATGACCTCGCAGAATTAACCCTAAATTAATTCCACCTCAATTTCAAATAGGAACTTCGCGATAAAACATCAAAAACTACGTTTAAAGCTCGTTGGTTTAAAGGGGCTTTTCCGCATGTGTGACGTCATCGTGGCGCAACGACGGCACCAACGGTACTTGGGGAAACGCCCGTGTCATCAAGCCTTGTCCCCGCTGCAAAATGAACTCAAGAAAGGTAAACATGCCGTCAGGAAATTCCAGCGGAGGCGGCTGTCAACAAAGGCAGCCCACTGCACGGTCTTCTTATCGCGTTTAAAGTTGTACTGGTTGTACCGCTCTCCTCGCCAGCAGCGTGAAGGACAGTGCCCTCACTCCCCTGTTTTAAAAATGGAGAAAGCGAGATGCTGAGAGGGCGCGCAATGTCACTTCCGGTACGATTGCACGTGTTTTTGTCGAGCTGTTCTACTACAGCTTTCTTAGAACTACTCCCGTTGCGTCACGTGTTGTCAACGTCATGAATCGATTGAGCCAATAGCCGACATCGCAGGCAGCCGGCGCAGCCACTAGACCAATAAAACGCCGGATATTTCGTGACATCACGCCTGACTCGCAGCGATTGTTGCGATGACTACGGATTTCCGCGCCGTCAATGGCCAGGTGACTGAAGCAACCGGTCCACTGGGATAAACCTCGGTAAGTTCGCACTGCGTCTTTTCTGCACGAATTCGACGAATAATTGAGCCTGGTAAAACTTGAAACCGTCAAGTGTGAAGCGTAAACTAACCTGGGACCCGAAAATAAACCGCCAGGCTCGGAATCCTGCGAATTTTTCACGATAATCAAAGAAGCGCACGGAGACATACGAAGCTCTCCGGAGAGCCCGAACCGTGTGGGTATTCCCTGTGGCGTTGTGGCATTGTATGAAAACGCAGTCCTCGCCGTGAATTATATATCCGAACTTGGTCCTGCTGATGAGACGAGCTCGCGAAAGGTATATGTTGAGCTCAGCTTGCCGTCGAGTTGCGGCTAAATATGGCTGACGGTGACAGCAGAACATAACGGGATTGAATGGTGACCTTTCCACTTTCCTTTCTCCTTGGTTTATGTTTATTTTTGATCCGAATCCACCGGTGTGATTGTCCTGACCGGTTCTTGAACCTCGTCCGAACTCGCCCGTCACTGTTTGACGCGAAGACGACCATATCGCAGGGTTTGGTGGCGGTCGTGCCGATCCGCTTACGCCATTCAAACGTGCTTGTCGTGTGGCGTATCGCGTACCGAATAATAATATAAAGAGCTGTCGCTTCTAAAGTGCGATCGCGCTCCGCAGTAGCGGTTATATTTTGTCGAAAAACGGCCGGTGTGGGTGTCCGTACTACCAAGGTGGTTATTGCTGCTGGAAACCAGTTCACTGCTCTGCGCTGCTCGTCGTTGCACGTGTACTAATGACAGTGTTCGCGAATGAGGTCGTCGCTGTGTCTATTCCGAATTTTTGCTGTTTTCTTTTTTTTCTAATGACGTCTGGGTTTGACAATTGGGAGCAAAAAACGCAGTTAAAAAAAAGGAAAAGAAAACTCGCTTGTGTCAGGTTTCAGAAAAAAAATCCACAGAAGACACTTCGATAGCGCAACTTGTGAAGCTCTGCGAACTAAGTGCTGTGCGTTTCAAAGGAACTTGAGCGGTACATATGCTTGCTGATCAGTGTTCGTTTGCAGCGGCTACAATGAAATTCACTGTACGTTATTTTTTTATGGTTTTTGTATCTAAAAAGCGCGCTGGCAATCTATGTCCTTATCAATGAATGAACCATATACAACTCGGAGTCAATATTGGAGTACGAGATTACTCGAGTGGTAGCGTCTCTTATCGAATGATTGTTGTGTGCTTCCATTTCTTGCCTGCTGTCACAGCTATTGGTGTCAGGCTTCAAACCTTCTGCTTCAAGCTGTTATTGCTGCAGAGTTCCCTAGCCTAGCAGTTGTCTGCCTTTACAGTCGGTGAGAGGATGAGTTCAGGGGATCCCACCTCTCTCCACCTTGGCAGTGCGAACACTGGAGAGGAGGCGATCTCCTCTCCAGCATTTACTCTGCTAAAGTGGAAAGAGGGAGGAACTTCTGTATTCTTAACATGTCACCGATTGCAAGTAACATTAGGTAATGGGATGTGCTTTGTTGAGAAGGGGGCAAAAATTTTTTAGAAATATGTTTCGCTGGTCTATCTCCTGCTGTTCGGGTTGTTGCGCAGAATCGTGTCTCGGTCGAATCTGTCATGATCTCGTAGCACACATTCTGTGACCTCCTGTCTCTGTATATGCAAATCTTCCACTACCTTTCTCTGACAAGCGGCCTTTTATTTTGCATTTGCAGACGGTTCCTGAGCTCCATAGGATGTACCTCAGTTTACTCACCAAAGGTAAGCCGGCCTTCTTATCTTTATGGACCAAACAGTGAGCTGTCGGGGGAGTGTGCCATTGACACTTGTGGCGTCTCGTGATAAGAAATTTTGTACTTGCCGTAACAGTGTGACTGTCAAGCCTGCCTCGAAACAACCCTGCGGTGTGTTGTGTTTTTATTTGTTTACTTTTTTACAAAAAAAAAAAAAATTGCAGCGCTGAAACTTTGGCATTATAGCAGGTACAGGCCATAGATTAATACGCTTAATAAAGAACTAGAAAAACAACACTTGAATATACAGCCTCGGCTGTCTAGAAAGAGAATACATAAATGTAAAATATAAATAGCAACATGAAAAATCAAGGCCATTTCCTGAGGCAAGTTTTCCCACGTCGTCATTAATGAAAAAAGACTCATGTAACAGGTTCCAATTGGCAATTGTGTGTGGAAAAAATGAAAACTTCTTATAATCTGTCCTACAGAAAATTTCCCTTATCTTTCTGGAATGATCCACACAATTTGAAATGTAGGAAATATAGTTAGGTAACTCTATGTATTCGCTTTAATCAAAACCTGTCAAATCGTTAAAAATTGCGAGCAAGAACCTCAAGCAAAAATCTTTTGCGTCTGAACAATAAAGTAGATTTTTAATCTCTGCAACGCTATTGTTTCTATTATAATTTCCTGTTAGAAATCTCGCCGCACGGTTTTGAAGCTTCTCTAACTTATCTGCAAGGTACTTTTGTTGCGTGCCATTGATATAGAGCGAGCAATTTTACTAACAAAAATGGTAGTTTACAAAAGAAGATGTATGTTACAGTGACACATTCATTTAGCATGTCATAAAGCGGAGATAGATATCCACAAATATATGGAGCGCATTATGTTTTCTTGGCGCTTTTCATGAGTAGAGGGAGTGTGGCCTTGCTGTACCTCAGTACGCCCGTGCAGGGTGGTGCAAATAAAGCGAATGAATCTATAGCCTATCTGGTCTCGGTGTTTGAGTAAGAATCATACACTTATACCAGCTATTGACTACCAAACTGCTTGAAAATCTTCTTTTTCAAATCAAGGTTGCATAGAATATGTCATTTTTACAATTGAAAGATACAGAAGCTAGAGCTAGTTGGTTGTTACAGCTTCAATAAGTCATGTTCTTGTGTGGGACTTGCACAGAAAGACAATCTTAATAGTATAAAATATTGGCAGCGACCTTTATCTCGAAAGTCCTATAATGCACGGAATGTATTGTTTGAAGAGCTATCATTTAAATTCGTTCAGAAGACATTAAGAGTTGTTTTTGCGGGTGAAGAAGAACATGTTCCTTTTAAATTTTCATCACACTTCCCCTCGACATCACCATGCGCTACGGAGATTGTCGTCACGTCGTAACTATAGCAGGTAACGTGGAGCACAGACCTTAGTAAGTTCACATAGAAAGTCATCCAGCTGGCATAGAAATAGAGCACCCGGCTGCAGACTGAGAAGTTCCGAGTTCAAATCCTGGTGGGAAATGAGTATGTATCGGTTACTTGTGTGTATGCTTTTGCTTATATTGGCTTGGTAACCAAACCAGTTGTGCTGACGTGCCCTACCATAAGGTATGTAGGGACAGTTGGAAAGACAGGCTGTCAAAATTCTGGACATAGGAGGTCTTGTTATGAAGCATTACATGCTTTAAAAGAAAAAAATGACAGCACAAAGTGGAGTTTTTAAAATGAGCATACTAGAATATAAAGTACTTGGACAAGTTTTTGTTAATATTTTATTTTGTAAGAAGCAAGGTCTTGTTGAAACCTGTGTACACAGTTTACCACCGACAGCTTAAAACCATTGCAGAAAGGTGAATGGCGAGTACCTCACACTGGGGACCAGTTCTGCGCGCTTTTTTTAGAGTTCTTGGCATGGTTGCACCCCATTCTCAGATTAACTTTTGACTCGCACGTGAGCAGGCGATGCGAATCACGTGCCAACGTCGCCAAAGCAACTTCAGTGGGGCGTGCGTGTTTCTTGGCTCCAAAAGTTTGGACTGGGAGTTCTTGACAGGTAGCTGGGCAGTCAGGCGGCACCGTCAAGACATTCCCTTCCGCTCAGAGCCCCCACCCTTGACAGCCTGTGGAAATTACCTCGAGCTGTCTGACAATTCTTTCTTTCCACGTTTTTAGTGTCGGAGCAAGCGAGCACTCTATCTACTCCCAAAAATCTTGCAACAAAATAGCGTAACAATTGGTGAAGAACTATGCATCAAACGTAAAAAGGGGTTCTTTTTTTTTTTTTATTCTTATCATGCTTGTTATGGTACAAAATACAGTCCCTTTGAGAGACATCTGGCACGTCTGGAATCCGGTGAGGCTTTTGGACAGGACTCTTTGGTGAATTTCATGTAAACACCTACCAAGTTTTGGTGGGAGATACAAAAGACTTCATCTTCTACTTTATCTTTGTCATGTCAGATGCTTTTCCAATCTGTTTCAGATTTAAAATGTTGCAGCTATCTTTATTAAGTTGTGCTCTCTGTAACGTGAAATGATGTGGGATTGTCATCTAGCTTCATTAAAACAACCATTGTGTTGGCTCTTGCTAAATATGATGCGTTGATAGAATTTGACACACAAATTACCCAGGTGCGATTCGGATGCTACTGTTTTAGTCAATTCATTTCTTGCTGACTGCTGGATGTTTATACTTTAGGCCTTGCAGTTCTGGCAGTGCCAGTGCTAAATAGTCATCCATGCTGTGCAGCCACGGGGCTTCTGAGAGAATTTTCTTAATTTATTTATTTCAACGATTTAAAACTTGATATTGTATTCTGAGCAAAGTAGAAGGAATGCCAACAAAATTTAATTTGAGAAATTAAGTTTTAAAAACAGCCTGGAGAATATTTATATTTGCATATACTCCAGCATACTGGGTTCTATTTCCTCCTTGCCATTTCCTTTCTCTTTCTTTTCTGTTGGGAAAAATGCTTTGAGCAAGGAATAAGACTCAAAGAATGTCAAGGTGAATTTATTTTGGTGCAATATTTTTTTTTTGACTCAGATGAGCAAAAGACATGTACTATCGGATTCAAATGAAATGCGAACAGCGGAGCGCGTGGCCGTCGGTACATGCTGCGCCTCCTGGAGGCCTGTTGAAACTGATAAAACTGTGAGTTGGAGAGTAGAGCACCGCAAGGGTGTGCGTCCTACTCTGATGTGTTTGACCCTCGCCCAGCACAGCCCAAGCTTTGACACTTCGCCGGTGGTGTGTTGGAAGTTCCGTCACAGCCACTCTCGTTGGCTTGGCACGAGTCATGCGAAAAAGCTTGCCGCTCGCATCAGGAGCAGGCTGCTTGAGCATGCACGTGTATGTGGAGCATCATTGCAGCAGTCATGCTCCCTTCTAACTTGTGCAGTTTTTTTGTTTGCTTTTTGCTTAATATTTGGTATTATTTTTTGTGAACAGTATAGCAGAAAGTGTGCAAAATTCGAGACAGAATAACAAGAGGGGACACGGGACGGCTGCTCGCACCTAAGTGAAGTCAATTACCTCGGAAACTTTTAAATATCAGCTCCCAGCACTCTCCCTGCGTCTCCTGTGTGGCACTGGGATTGCCTAAATGCAGGTTCGCCAGCTCCCGCATTTGCCAAGCATTTTAATGAAATGCAATAACTTTATTATTGACATTTTGCAGGCAGCTGGAGTCCTGTTCAGCATGCTCTTCGAATTATCACCACCAATGTGTCAGAAGTGTGAAATAGAAGTTAAAGCAGTTCGTTCGTGCACGGAAGACCTGTGAAGCTTGATTGATGTCAGTTATCAGAACCACGCAGACGTCCTCATGAAGAACCTAGAACGTATGACGTTTGCAAAATGGTGGAACAGCGTGGGCGGGAAACTTGCCAGGAAGCATTTGTGCAAGCGTAAATAATAAACAATAAGGGAACACAAATGCTGCAACTGGCAAAAGGCTGAGGCCTCAGGCAGCGCTGCAGCAATAGCTGTCTGGGCAGGATTGCTTTCATTGTTGTATTTCACTAAGCTGGTCTTGGTGAGGAGCCAACTAATACTTTTTAAAGTCTCCTTCAGCGTCTGCAACGGCAGCCAGCGGCGTAGACTTTCCATCTTCGGGGGGGGGGGGGGGGGGCAGGGCAGGCAGGGGCAGGGGCAGGGGCAGGGGCAGGGGCAGGGGCAGGGGCAGGGGCAGGGGCAGGGGCAGGGCAGGGCAGGGGCAGGGGCAGGGGCAGTGGGCAGGCTGAGAAGCTCTCCTAGGGGGTGCGGTGCGGGGGTGCACATTATCTCTTCGCCAGAACTGGAGATTGGAGGTGACGAAAGCACGCTGGGATTTTATCTCCCATGTATTTTGTCAATAAAAGCAACGTGGGCGTTATTTTGTTTGCCTGCCCCTACTAGAAGCTCGTTACATGGCACGTAAACAGCGTCTTGGTAAGGATCATGGCCCGGGTCCAAAGGGGGCTCTGCCCCCCCCCCCCCCCCTAGATCTTACCAGGAGGGGCACGAGCCGCGATGCCCCCCCGAAACTACACCTATGATGGCAGCCATCTGACGAGGTAGACCTTCCGTCTTGTGGGATACCAGGTCCGAAGCTCACAGCCATGAAAATGCATATTAAGAAAATAAAAATTAGAAAAAACTGTGCAAGTTAGGAGGGAGCATGACTACAATAATGCTCCCTCCCTCGACCACCATAAAAATGCGTATTAAGAAAATAAAAATAAAAAAACTGTGGAAGTTAGGAGGGAGCATAACTGCAATAATGCTCCATTGACGCGCACTAAAGCACCCTGCTCATGCTGCGAGCAGCAAGCTTCCTCCCATGGATCATGCCGAGCTAACAAGAGTGACTGTGACGGAACTTCCAGTGCACCCCCGGCGCAGCGTCGAAGCTTGGGTTGTGCTGGGCGAGCGTCAAACACATGGGAGTAGAACGCGCACCCTCACGGCGCCCTACTCTCCAAGTCACAGTTTTATCATTTTCAAGAGGCCTCCAGGAGGCGCAACATGTACCGACGGCCACGT